ACGCGAGCCGCGGTCGACTACGTGGGAGTCCAGTGACATAGCCATTACGCTAACTGCTGGTTCCCTGGAGTCATTCTTGACTCCTTTTCAATCCCTGCACTCTACCTGTCGGCAAATGGGTTTTACCCTAAGAATGTTTCCAGAATTTTACCTTTCTTAGTGACTTTTTATTTTTTTTTTATAACTTTATGAAAGTATTTATTTCTTCCATGGGTAAGAGAGAGAGTAGGGTCTTCAAACTGTGATCCATCCCCAGATACAGCCTCGGCTAGCCCCAGATCATGGGGTACCCAGAGAAATCTCCAATGTGAATCCGGAACCTTTCCACGTGGAACCTCCTCATAGAGCTTTACATTCTATTTCTGTGCCAGCACTTGGCCCCCACAAGTGGCTTTAAGCAAAGTCAGAGCATGTCATTTCGTTTTAACCCCATGATGGCTTCCATCTCCGAAGGGTTAGATCCCAATCCTCACCATGATCTTTTTTTTCTTCAAGTTTTTGCCATAGGGTGTGTGTGCTCACCAGATAGAAAGTGAGAAATCACCCCTTAGTGGAGACGGCCATACCACAATCTCTTCTCGTCTGTTCTCCTCTTAGGATCTTGGGTCTTTGGGCATGCATGTACACATATACGGTATGATTTTTAAGCCGCTGGACTTGGGACTTGAACCACAGTCAGCCATGTGGGAGTGCAATGCCTTAACCATCACACCACCTGCTAGCCTCATAACCCCCTTTTTTATTTATTTATTTAACTTTATTTATTTGTTTTAATTTGACCAGAGAGGGACAGAGTGAGAGAAAGAGAGACAGAGAAAGTGAGAAAGCAAAGCTGCCAGGTCCAGGACTCAAACCGTGGCCGGCCATGTAGAAGTCCAGGGCCCTTAACTACCATGCCACCTGCCAGCCCCTGGCCCGCGTAACCTCTTAAACTTTGTGGGAGGCCATCATTTATGACTGGGCTCCTGCACTAGGTCCCAATAGACCAGGCCAACCAGAATGGAGTCATTGAGCTCAGTGCCACGTCATCAAACTGGACGTTAAAATGGCCTGGTTTTAAAAAACAGGACTTTTTTTTTTTTGGAGAGTTTTTTTTTTTTTTTCCACTATAGGGCGCGTGCGCTCGCCAGACAGACAGAGACATAGAGACAGAAAGCGAGAAATCACCCCCCAGGGGGGATGGTCACGCCGCAATCCCTTCTCTTCCATTCTCCTCTCGGGATCTTGGGCACGCACGCACACGGGCCCGGCATGAGTTTTAAGCCACCGGGTCCGGGACGTGAACCGCGGTTGACTACGTGGGAGTCCAGCGACATAGCTAACTGCTGGTTCCCAAAAAACAGGACATTCTTGATCCAGACTGGCTCAGACTAGGGGTGTATCAGGATGTGAGGATCCCATTGGGGTCTTTCTCTCTATGTTATATGGAAGAAATAAATAAATGAACTTTAAAGAAAAATTAAAGGCCTAGCCATGATAGTATGCACTGGTAGATTCTACTACTCAGCAGGCTGAGGCCATGTAAGAGTCCTGGGTTCGATTCCCGGTTCATCCTAAAGCCAGGTACAATGGTGCATACCTTTAGAGGATCATAATATGTAGCAAGTCTTAAAAAAAGATATTAAAAAACCAATTAGAGCTTTAAAACTTAATTTTTTAAAAAAGGAATTATTTAACTTTATTCTTTTTTTTTTTTTTTTTTTGAGAGGTTTTTGCTATAGGGCGCGTGCACTCGCCAGAAAGACTGATATAGAGAGATAGAAAGCGAGAAATCACCCCCCAGGGGAGATGGCCATGCCATAATCCCGTCTCCTCCATTCTCCTCTCGGGATCCTGGGCACGCACACACACGTGCCCGGAGTGAGTTTAGGCAACCGAGTCCAGGACTCGAGCCATGGTCGGCTACATGGGAGTCCAGCGACATAGCCATTCCACTAACTGCTGGTCTCCATCTTTTTTTTTTTTTTTAATTTGACCAGAGAAAGACAGATAGGGGACCCAGCAGGTTCAGGACTTGAACCATGATCAGCCATATGGAAGTCCAGTGCCTTAATTACCATGCCACCTGCTGGCCCCTAATTTTTGTTTTTTAAAAACACCTAAGGTTGCCCAAGAGTTGGCCTCCTGCTGCTTCTAGGCCTCCATCCTCCCACTCACGTCCTCACTTTGCTCCAGCAGTCACACTGGCCTCCTTGCTGCTCCATCTTCCAGCCCTGTAGCCAGCTAGAATCATGCACACACCCACGGGTGCACCATGCAGCTTTAGGTAGAACCAGGACGTGAACCTAGTGTCTTCCCACATGGCCTCCAGCATAACTCAGCAGTGTCCCTACTGCCTGTACCTCCTTGGCCAGGATCATCTGCCTGGAATGTTCTTCACCTAGACATTTACAAAGTCAACCACTCTCTCTTCTCGTTACTCAGTCATGTCATCAGCGAGGACTTCCTTGATCACAGTACACACACACATTCATTCTGGATGGAATGATGCCCCCCAGTCCTCCCCACCTCCTAACACGTTTTCCTCTGTATGTGCCACTGTCTGACATGTTCTACATTGACTATTTTTATTATTCTTCCTCCCCCTTACATTAGAATATAGGCCATTAGATGGGGCCAGCAGGTGGTGTGGCCATTACGGTGCTGGACTCCTATACGGCTGACTGTAGTTCGAGTTCTTGACCTGGTGGCTTGCTCTCTCTCTCTCTCTCCCCATCTCTCTCTGGTATGTGCATGTGCCCTGTCGCAAATTAAAAAAATAATAATAATGATAAATAAAATTAAACAATTTAAAAAAAAGACAGACTATTAGGTCAAGGTCTTTGCTCACAACTGTCTCCCCAGTGCCTGGAGTATTACCTGGTACACGGTGGGTGCTCTGTAGATGTTTGTTGAATGAATAAGTGATATCGCTCATAGGTGAGAAGTCATCGATAGATGAAGGATGAGATGAATGTGGGTTAAGAGCCTAGTTCTGGGCCAGACTGCCTGGTTTAAATCCAGGCCCTGTCACTTGCCAGCTGTAACCAGGGGCAATTCAGTTAACCTTTTTGGCCTCAGTTCCTTGTCCATGAAATGAGCAGGATGCCAATACCTGCCACGGGGCTAAGTGAGCAGCATGAAATTCTATGCGTGAAATTGCCTAACTGGCTCGGCCACTGCTTGGTGAGTGTTGGCTATTTTTTCATTATACCTTGTAATACCACTTTGGGAAATGTAACTATGTAAAACACATAACAAATTAGGCTGAAGATAAAAGAAAATGGCAATGCAGACCATATGGGGGAAGTTTATTGTATTTACAAAGGAAAAAGTAGGTCAGAAATGAAATAGGATGCACTGGATCCAATTGTGTTTTGGCTACAGTAGCCTAAAACAGGTGCAGGCTTCATCCTTGGGAATTCCTGTTGCAGAAAGAAAGATAAAGCTCAGTTTAGGGAGTGCAATCAGCGTGAGTTGGGGAGGGACACCTGTAACCAGAGTGACAGGTGCCCCAGGGGCAGGAGCTGACTGTGGGTTTTTTTTGTTTGTTTGTTTTTTTGTTTGTTTGTTTGTTTTGAGAGGATTTTGCTATAGGGCGTGTGCACTCGCCAGAAAGACAGAGAGAGACAGAGAGAAAGCGAGAAATCACCCCCCAGGGGAGACAGCCACGCCACAATCCCTTCTCCTCCATTCTCCTCTCGGGATCTTGGGCATGCATGCACATGTGCCCAGCATGAGTTTAAGCTTCCAGGTCTTGGACTCGTACCTCGGTCAACTACATGGGAGTCCAGCGACATAGCCATTACGCTAACTGCTGGTCCCACCAACTGTGGGTTTTAAAAGAGGCAGCGTGGAGGAAAGGATGCTCAGGTGTGCCATAGTGAATACCAGCCGTCGCCCCTGCCCTTGCCGACCAGCCATTCCCTTTGAAGAAGCCTCCTCTAATCCCCAGACAGGGCCAGCTCTCTCCCAGCCACTCATAAGCCACACCTCTGTGTCTCTTACCATTGATTACGAGTTACATAACCAACTACACGAAAACTTGGTTAACTCCTGGCCGCCTCGGTGCGTTACGAACTCCATGAGAGCAGGGGCTGCTGCAGTCCTGCTCTCTGCTACACCCTCAGCCCAGAGTCTGGCACGTTGTAGTAACCGGATGGCTTTTACAAGGGCTGCTAAGCCTGAACCTCAGTTTCTTTCTGAAGGTGGACACAGGGGGAGTGGGTGCAAAACGGTGCTCTCTGTCCAGTCACTCTCCCGTGCATGTTAAAGATGGACGAATCCATTCTCATTTTATATTCTCTTGGGCCTACCTGTGATGTCCTGATATTTGCAGCAGCTGAGCTAGAGGTGGGGACAAAGACTGCCGCAGCCTCCAGACCCCTTCCTGCGTGCTCTGTGTGCCGACTTCCAGCTCTGGGAAGCCTCTGGCCTGTAAACTGCTGGAGCAAAGCCTGCATTCTTAGGACTGGCCCTCCTCAGGGCCTGCCAGCCTGCAGGGCCTGGTGGGAGTTGTAGCAGGTGAGTGATCACCTAATCACAGCATGAGAGGCAGGGGGGAGGCATTCTTCTTAGAAGCATTATTTTAGAATTCCAGCTGTAGGGACCTTAGAGATGACCAGAGCTGACACCTTCCTTTCATAGAAGGGGGAACCAGGAAGCCACCTACTGTTAGTTGTGTGCAGGGAGGTGGTTGCAGAAACAGGCCTGCAGCCCAGGCATCCATCCTGCCTCCCAGCCAGATCTCAGCCTCTTTGTCTGCCGGTAGACCTGCTGCTGCGTGGACCTCCACAGGACTGGAGTCCCTGAGATGTGGGGGCTCTTGGTGTCTAATTAGGTTGGGAAGAAGGTGAGGAAGCATATGGAGATCTCTGCCGGGGACTGAATTTGCTTAATAGGTTGGCCCAGGAGTGCCCAACAGAGTCATGCTGGGACACATTTGTGCCCACAGTTTAACCTCGGGCTCCAGAAGGCAGCAGTTTCTCCAGTCTTGGGAAAACTTTGTCCATGAAGTGCAACTTTGTATGAAAAAGTTCCAGGGAGGCAAAGCAGGTCTTGGGCCTGCCAGTCCCTGGCTAAGGACCAGCTACTGCCTCCTCTTTGCCTCGCTTTTTCTTTTCTGTAAAATGGAAAACTCATTCCTGACCTTTACCGACTCCCAGTGGGCATGCGAAGGCCAGTGAGAAAGTGAATGACTACCGTTTCTGCCTCTCCGAGGACCATGGTAGCCTACACCAGACTACCACAGGTGTGGGAAGGCTGGTCTGTCCTGGGCTCTATGGTTTGTGAACTTGGCAAGAGGGTCCAGGGCATGCCTCTCTGATTACCTGCATCCAAATCCTCTGGGATACCATGTTAACATTCAAGCTTCCGGGTTCTAGCCCGGAACAATTGAGTGAGTAACATTTTCAGGGAGACGCTGGGCCTGGCCTCTTGCGACGCGCTGGGTAACAGCAGTAGACAGACACAGCCTGCATCACACCTTTTCTCCCCTTCCTCTAGGTCCTGATATGTGTAAGGAGGAACCTCCTTCTCCGTTGGCTTAACAGAGCCTCCCACTTTTGGGGAGGAGGAAATTCTTTCCTAACCTGGAAATCAATTGGGAAGGAAGCCTCTGAGGTCCCCAGATACACATGGACATGCACACATGCATCCCTACCTGCGCTTCTGCAGCAGGGCCACCAGGACGCTGTCCAATGCCATCTGCTTTTGGTCTCCCCACACGCTGTCCCCCTGACGGCCAAGCCGTAGCCTTGCTCCTTGCTCCTCGTTTCTCTCTCTATGCGGTTAGAGGAAGAGGAACAGTGAGGCTGCTACCTGGGAGGCGGGCAGGCAGAGGTGTATCCCTATGCCTAGTCCAGTATCTGGTGAGGACTCTTCTACCCAACTGAATTAGATTCAGCAACTCTTAGGGCGGCAGTATAGATAGTCATGCTAGCTCCCACAGCCGCAAAATGTCTCCCCATAGATTATTAACTGTAAAGTCAAAGTATTAACTTTACAGAAGAGACGCCATGTTAACCAAGTCATCAATGTTATCTTCTGTTATGGTTTAATGTGTCCCCCCAAAATATATGAGCTGAGACTTTGTTTCTGTGATGGCAGAATTAAGAGGAAATTTAATCCAACTATAGGTATTCAGAGGTGGTACTTTGGGGAGGTGTTTACAGTGGGACGCCATGATTAACTCCTGGTGACTTTATGAGGAAAGAGAGAGACGCATGGATTTAGGCATGCACATTCTGGCTCTGTCTTGTCATGTAATGCCCTGCACTGCCTCAGGACTCTGCACTGCAGAGTTCCCCACCAGTAAGAAGGCCCTTACCAGATATAGCCCCTGGACCTTGGACCTCAGGCCTCCAAACTGTGAACCAAATAAACCTCTATTTTTATAAATCATCCACTTTCAGGTATTCCATTTCTAAGCAACACCACAGTCTAAAACACGATCCACCAATAATGAGACAAATGACATTGGTACCTCTGACACCGTGCACTGAGACGGACACAGCGTTACTTCATGAACGCATAACCTGGATCTAATCATGAGGATGTATCTGACAAATTCAATGGGAGGGACAGTCTGTATAAATCATTAGCCTTTACTAATAAAAAATGTCAATGTCATGAAAGATTGAGGATATCTCAGATTAGTAGAAACTAAAGAGATGTGACAGCTAAATGGAACCTATGATCCTGGATCCTGGATCAGAAAAAGACTGTTTTAAAGGGTATTTGGGGACAACTGGTAAAATTTGACTGTGGATTGTAAGCAATAATTACATTGTGTTTATGTAAGGGTTTTATTAGGTGTTAGGAAACAGATGCAGAAGTGTTAGACTGTGGGACCAGCAGATAGTATAATGGTTATGTCACTGGACTCCCATGTAGTTGATCATGGTTCAAGTCCCAGATCTCATGGTTTAAAACTCACACCTGGCATGTGTGAGTGCATGCCCAGGATCTCAGGAGGAGAATGGAGAAGAGATTGTGGCGTGGCCATCCCATCTGGGGGATGGAGTGTGTGATTTCTTGATTTCTGTCTCTCCAGCAAGCTCATTTGCCCTATCGCCAAAAAAATTCTCTCTTAAAAACAAACAAACAAAAAAGAAGTATTAGTCATTGGAAAAGTCATGATACATTTTTGCACAGAAACATAGAAAGATACATCATGGTTTTTTTTTTTTTTTTTTAGAGGTTTTTGCTATAGGGCGCGTGTGCTCGCCAGACAGAGAGAGACAGAAAGCGAGAAATCATCCCCCAGGGGGGATGGCCACGCCGCAATCCCTTCTCCTCCATTCTCCTCTCGGGATCTTGGGCACGCACGCACACGCACCCAGCATGAATTTAAGCCACCAGGTCCGGGACTCGAACCGTGGTCGACTACGTGGGAATCCAGCGACATAGCCATTACGCTAACTGCTGGTCCCACGTCATGTTTTTCCTGATGTCCTCATATCTAAGGGTAAGGGCCATGAGGACTGCAGTTTACTCTCAAATGGTTCAGAAAAAATGATGATAATAAATGTGTAGTACATGTATTTGTGTGTGTAGTAGATCTCTAGCTGTAGATGTAGAGTAAATAAATATGGTCAAATGTGAACAACTGTTAAATACAGGGAAGGGCACATCGAAGTCCATTGTACTATAGTTGTAACTTTTTTGTAAGTTTGAAAGTTTTTTTAAGCTAAAAACTAAAATATGTATAGGCTATGGGCTTAGACTGTTTGGATTTTAGCTGTATCACTCTGGTTGTGTGTCCTTTAGAAGGTATTAATGTCTCTGTATAATGGGGGTACGAGTCCCTACTTTGTGGGGTTGCTCCAAAGATCAGATAAACTAAGAACAATGGCTGCCATCGCCCAAGGCTCCCCATACGCCTGGCACTGTGTAGGGTGTACAGAGAGGTCTTAGAGCAGAGCCTTTGTTTCTGGCACGGAGTCACGATCAAATAGTAGCTACTATCAGAGCCGCTGCTGCTGGGGTCTAGCACAGGGAGAAGCACAGAGTAGCTGTGGAGGTACCTTGAGCTTTGACTTCCAGATCCTTCTGCCATGGAAAGTCAAGAAAAAACAGCTGCTTGCCAGGGGAGAGACCAAACTTGGTCTTGGGACTCCTGCACCAGGGCCTCCAAACCCTGATACTTAGGGCTGCAGGAAGAAAACATGAGAACCCCGCTTACCCCTGCTGCCTGCTCACGATGTCCTGGAGCAGCTTGCGGGCAGACAGCTGGCCCAGCACCTTCCGGTAGCTGTTGGTGAAGATGGCATCTGCATATCGCCTCATCCTGAGTGGGAGGAACCACAGGCCAAGGCGTGGGTTGAGGAGCCAGGAGAGAAGGGTAGGGCTGCTTTCACCGTGTCTCTGTAATGTCCTTCTGTTGCTCTATGTCACCCCCAGAGAGACTTGGACCACAGCTGGGCCACCTCTCTGGAGCTCAGTGTCTGGTCCCCTCCCAGAAGTGGGCAGTGGGTGCTGCCCAAGGAAATTGCTGGAGGTCATGTGATGGCTTGATTCTGCACCCTCTAACCTCCCACCCCAGGGCAGGGATGGCTTGGGGGTGGGGGAATCCAGGGGTTGCTTACCTGAGGGGCAGGGAGGGCAGTGGGGAGGAATGGGAGCTGCTGCTGAGGGTGAGGATCACGAGGAAGAACACCCAGAGTGGCATCCTTCACCCCTGGGTGCACCTGCAAAATGACAGAGAAAAGATCAGGTGCAGTCTTAGCCACAGGGGTGCCTTTTGCCAACTGGGCTCAGCCTTGGCTCCATGACAAGCCTTGGTCCTTGTCTATTGGGAGCTATGGGGTAGGAAAAAGAACCCAAACCCTGGAAGTTAGACCTGGGTTCAAGTTCTGCCCCATCAGGTACCAGCTCTGACCTCATTATCTCCATCTGTAAAATGACTCGATAAAGCTAATCTGCCAATTTCATAGGGTTGAACAAAAAACCAGTGAGAACAATGAGACTGCCTTTGCTGTAGGCACTGGTGGAGAAATCTCTCAGCAAGTTGGGGGAGGAGGAATCACCTTCCCCTAGAGTCCCTAAGTCCCCCCACCCAATGTGGTACTGATAGCAGGAAGCAGGGATTACAACTCCGTTCCAAGTCAGACAAATCTGGGCTCAAATCCTGGCTCTGCAATCACTAGCTCTGTGTCCCAGAACCAGGAGCTTTGCCTATCTGGGCATCCGTTTCCCCAGCTGGAAAGTAGAGATGCTAAGTATACCTCCTACATGGAGTCCTTGCAAGGATCAGGTGAGATGAAGGTACCTGAGTGAGTCACGTGGCAAACAAGGAATTCCGTCTAACACTTTGCCCTGGTTACCTAATACAGGCCCATTCGGAGGGCGGACTCTGCTGCTTTTATTTTGCATGGGGTTGGAGGGAGGTCGAAAGACTGGAAGTCCTGCTCCAGGTGCTTCGATTTCTCCTGGAGTTTAGTCCTGGAGGAGACCACACAGCCTGGGGAGCCAGCATGGCAGAGTCGTCTCGTAGATTCCATAATCACCCTTAACTGGGGCCTGTGGACACAGCGGTCTGCTATTAGAGGAAGAACAGCTCTCAGGAGGAGACTGCCATCAGTCCTGACTGGTCCCTGTGGAAATGGCTGGCCTCGGGGGATTAGCCACCCAGAAATTGGGTCTTCCTAGCTCCCATGGGTGGTCCCTCTTCTAGCAAGATATCTGCCCCATGGGGATACAGACCTATCTGAGGGCCTAGCCAGTCCTGGGGGAACAGTACCTCCTTCCCCTCATCGCCACCTCCCATGACTCTTTGCCTCTCCTCCTCCCCAGTCCTGCTGAGGAATGATTTCCAGCAGGCAGGGCTGGCATTGGGAGGATTCACCTTTCTGTTCTGGGCTCGCTTGCCTTCTCAGAGCATTGCCCCCTTGCTGCAGACACTGGGGTCTGCCCTAACTCATGGGGACTGCTCGCTGGGGCCTGAGAATTCCACATCATCCAGCTCAGTGGTCAGTCCCTCCCCGAACCCCACCAAGAGGCAGCCCTCCAGTTCCTGCTTGGGCAGACACTTGCTGCCAGGGGAAGAGGAGCTCACTTCCCCCAAGCTGGTCTATTTCATTCTAGGCTGTTGTAATTCTTAGCAAGCTTTCCTTGGACCAGAAGGTGGCGTGGTGGCTAAAGCAGCTGGATCCCACATGGCTGACTGTGTGGTTTGCGTCCTGGACCCAGTGGCTTGAAAAATACACCAGGCGCATGTGCATGTGTGCCCAAAATCCTGAGATGAAAACAGAAGAGGAATTGTGGCATGGTCATCCCCCCGGGGGTAATTTCTCACTTTCTCTTTCTCTCTGATAAACGCACATGCCTTATAGCCAAAAAAAAGAAAAAGAAAAAGGTTTTCAGGGCTAGTAGGTGGCAAGGAGGTTAAGGTACTGGACTCCCACATGGCCAACCACAGTTCAAGTCCCAGATGTGGCAGCTTGCTTTCTCACTTTGTCTCTGTCTGTCTCTCTCTGGTGAGTATGTGTGCCTTATAGCAAATTAAAATAATGATAATAATAATAATAATAAATTAAATTAATCTTTTTCTAAAAAAGTTGTTCTTGGGGCTAGCAGGGCATGATGGTTAAAGGTGCTGGACTCCCACATGGCCGACTGTGGTTCAAGTCCCAGACCCGGTGGCTTGCTTTCTCACTTTCCCTCTCTTTTTCTGTCTCTCTCTGATCATACTGGAAAATAATAATAACAATAATAAATAAAGTTAAATAAAATAATTCTTTCTTAAAAAAAGCTTTTCTTGGGACCAGCAGTTAGTGTAATGGCTATGTTGTTGGACTCCCACATAGTCGACCGTGGTTCGCGTCACGGACCTGGTGGCTTAAAACTCACGCCAGGTGCGTGTGCATGTGTGCGTGTCCAAGATCCCAAGAGGAGAATGGAGGAGAAGGGATTGTGGCATGGCCATCCCCCCTGGGGGATGATTTCTTGCTTTCTGTCTCTCTGTCTCTGTCTATCTGGCCAGCGCACGCGCCCTGTAGCAAAAAACAAACAAAAAAACAAAAAAACCAAAAAAACCTCTTTAAAAAAAAAGCTTTTCTTAGGGCATGAATGGTGGTTTAGTGATAAAACGCAATGCTCTGTGAGGCAGACCCTCATGAGAACGCTGCCGGTTCAAGTCCAGAAATTTTAAGTACACTGGGGCAGGTACGTGCTCCTGATCCCAGCTGGCTGAAGCTGGAGCCAACCAGGACATCCAGACACTGCTGGGATGCTATACCTCTGTCTTTTTTTTTCTGTCTCTGTCTCTCTCACTCATGCAATAAGTATATTTTAAAAACTAAAAAGAAAAAAAAAAGTTTTTCTCATCATGTCACCCCCAAATCCCCAAGTATTTGTTAAACCTCAACTATCCTGGTAAGGACTGGCGCTAGAGAAAAGGTGAGGACCTGGTTTCTGCCCCGAGGGCCACCTCTTTGGCATCTGCCTGCTCTGCCTCCCAGAGCTTCTGCACCTGCATCCACAGGACACGCGTCTCCAGCTCTTGCTCCTTGGACCCAGGATTTTTGGTCTTCTGTCCTCCTTACACTGTCACATCTGCCTCCTTCCTCCCCAGGCCGGGTCAGGCTGCCTCTCTAGAAGTGGAGTGTCCTAAGCAGGGAGCTCTTTGGGCCCTTTGATAAAAACCACCGCTTTTTCTGTCTCCCAACGGCCCCCTGACTTTCTCACCTTCTTGCTTGATCTTTAGAAGGTTTGGGCATATCCTGGCCCCTCATCACCTCCCTCCCCTGCTCAGAAGCTCTTGATTCCCCACTCCATCCAAACCTCTTGCCTGTGCTCTCCCTCCACCACTTCACCTCCTGCTCCTTCTCCCTAGGGCCAGAGCGTGTGACTCCCAGCCCCTTTGTCCTCCTAACCAGCACGATGTACCTCACACTTGCCCTCTGGAGCAGGAATCACCATGCTCGTTTTACTTCCCAGAGAGAGGGAACTGAGCTCAGAGAGAAGGGCCTTTTCCACGGTCCTCCATCACGTTAGTTTTGGAGTGGGCGCTTGAGGATGGGCCTCCCATATCCCAGGTCAGCACTTCCTCCGACTCCAGCATCCAGATGCATTCCCTATTCACGGACTCCCTTATTCATGGGTGCTGGGGAGAGTGAAGGTGGGTAAACAGGCATGTCTGCTGGAGGGCACCTCCCTATGCACATTTAGTCATTTCAAGGAGTTGAAAATATCCATTTAAGGGCCAGCTGGTGGTGTGGCTGGATCCCACTTGGCTGACTACACGGTTCCAGTCCTGGACCTGGTGGCTTGAAAAACATGCTGGGCATATATGTGTGTGTGTGCCCCAGATCCTAAGATAGGAATGAAGGAGAAGGGACTGTGGCATGGCCATACACCATGGGGGGGGGGTGATTTCTTACTTTCCCTTCCTCTCTCCAGCGATAGTACACACCCTACAGCAAATTTTAAAAAAGAAAATAACCTCTTAAGAGAGCAGAGTTTAAGAGGCATGTTATGGTAAATACAGTAACACTCTGTCCATTCAAAGCGAGGCTGGTTCACTCAACATCTGGCTCAACATCTACCACACACCATGTGCCCCCCAGTGATGGGTCGGGACTCCACAGCAACCCTGAGCTATGAGGGTCTAATCCGAGGGGCTGCACGATCCATTGGATGAAGGTAGGAAACAGCAAGAAGTATCCAGTTTATGACAAGGTAATAGAAATCACATTATCAAGGACAAAATAGCTGTTGACAGACACATTCCGCATGACAATCTAAGGAACTCAAATTCACCAATTTAAATGTAACTGGAACACGACTTCGACTCTTTGATGGCTCTCAAGGTATTCCAGAATTTTTAGTCAATTGTTAGGAATGTCAGTTTGCTTTTTACAGCGCTTACTACTTCCATGACTAGCTGTGTTTAAAATCATCCAGATTCGGGGTAACCGGGCACCTGATCTACCTCAACTGGCACCTCCTGCCAGCCTTTCATGCCATGAAAATGCTGCAGAAACACTTTCAGCTAACAGAGACCAGGTCTCAAGTGCCAAAATTAGCAAGGCTACTTTTGAAAACCTAGGGAAAAACAAACAAACAAACAAAAAAATTCAAGCCTTTCTTAAATATTCTGCTTTGGAATTTGAGTACCCCAAAGGGTTCACATCCTAATCCAGTTTATAAACTGTTTCACCAATAATGTCCCAAGTTGAAGGAAATCTGTGTTTTAATGAGGGAGCATCTTGAACTGTCATTCAAAAGAGGTACACTCCACCTCCTTCCAGAAAGGGTTTGAGGCAGCTTGTGGTGAAAGACACAGATACTTCAGGACCATTAAAACAAGGATCAGGAGACGGGCTGGGGATAATGGAGGGCTCCGAGGGCAGGTAATTGCATCTAAAACACGGAGTAAGACACGCAGATGCAATGAAGCAAGAAGGCGAAATGTTATCAATTTCCAGGCAATTATGTTGAATTGGTTCTGAGCAATCGATGAGGGGTATTGATTTGCACAGCCCCCTGGCTCCTCTCCGATCCAAGGCAGAATCCCATCATCGACAGAAGAATCTAGCCAGTTCAGATTTTGCTTCGGAAGCCTGCCCCTATGGTCCTGAAGGAGCCCTAAGACCTCACTCACCTCTGACAGACAGCTGGAGCAGGTCTGCCTGCCACTTCTCCAGGGTTTGAGGCACCACACATTCAAGACAATCCCTGAATGGTGCCAACCATCAAAAGCATGTTCCAGAGCTCCTGGTGCAAGCTTATGTTATTCAGAGGGGGCCCAAACATACGCACCAGTCTGTGAGCGAAGCAGATCATGCTGGGCATCTTTGGCTTGGTGTCTCTGAATTGCTGAGGTCAACTTTCCCTGACCCCATCCAGCCCAGCCTCCAGGACCTCCCTCTCACCTTTGATGTGGCGGGTCTCTCTCTGCTGTGAGGTGCTGCTCTAGTCCTGAGGACCTGGGCTGGGCGCTTGCTCCGGTGGCTGCGTAGCACTCCCATCATTTATAGCTTCATTTTCCTAAGTGTTGTCCGCGTCAGAGGATCAATTACTCACCAGTCAACCAAAGCGCCATTTTTAGCATCACACCAACAAACCCCCATAGGGCAAAGAGGGCACATTAAGACACATATTGAACTTGCCCTTTATCCTGGACGGAGCACAAAAGAGGAACAGTATTAGAGGACTGGCGAGCATAATACTGCAGCTCTAATAATGGAGTACTCCTAACAGGGAAAAGGCCAAGGGTTCATTTATCCTCCGAGATGAATGTGCCTTTGAAAAAGTTCGTCTAATTTTGTTTTGTCTGTGGGTAACTTTATTTCACTTTCGGGTAGACGACATGACAAATAAGTGTTTTTCTCTCCTTAGTGAGGGAAATTGTTCGCTATCTCCCTTGTCGTCCAATTACCAGAATGTTCCTTGATTTGATTTACACCTGCTGCAGTCTCCGGCCGATTTCGACAGCTAGCCCGGGGAGCATCCGTCATCAAACGTCAAGGCAGCCACACATCGGCGGTTGCCTCGGAGAAGTGTGAAGTGAGAGAGAGAGAGATGGAAGCCTTGGGAGAGTTGCTGTGTTTCCAGATTCCTCTGGCCTTTAGCTAAGGAATCCTCAAGCATGACATAAAAATGTCTGAGGCAGAAGCTCTGGGTCCCACAGAGGTGGATGTGGAGGTGAGGAGAGGGCCCATAGCCTCGGTGGTTGTTGTGGAGGTGAGGAGAGGGCCCATAGCCTCGGGTCCAGAGACCTGCCACCTCTCCTGTGCCTGTCAATCACAACCTCTGTGACCCTCAGCAAGTTACTTCCACCCTCCAGGCCTTAGTTTCTACATCTGGAAACTCAAAAGTAGGCACAGAGCAACAATTTTCAAACTCTCAAAATAGCGGCATAATCTTTTCTTTAGAAATCTACAGAAGCACAGCACATAATACAGGGCTTTTTTTTTTTTTTTTGGAAGAACAGCACATAATACAGGGCTTTTTTTTTTTTAAGAATTATTTTTCGGACCAGCGGTTAGTGTAATGGCTATGTCACTGGACTCCCACATAGTCAACCGTGGTTTGAGTCCCGGACCCGGCGGCTTAAACTCACGCTGGGTGTGTGTGCATGTGTGCCCAAGATCCTGAGAGGAGAATGGAGAAGGGATTGTGGTGTGGCCATCCCCCCCGGAGGGTGATTTCTCACTTTCTGTCTCTCTGTCTCTCTCTGTCCTTCTGGCAAACACACGTGCCCTATAGCCAAAAAAAAAATTTTTTTTTAATTTCATTATTATTTTTCATTTGACCAGAGAGAGACAGAGAAAAAGATAAAGTGAGAAAGTAAGCCACCAGGTCTAGGATTCGAACTGTGGTCAGCCATGTGAGAGTTCAGTGCTTTAAGCACCACAACACCTGCTGGGCCCTATAACACTGATTTTACAAGCAAGGCTGCTCTGGTTGAAAAGAGATGAGACCCACACTGCCCTCTGAGGAACCTCTAGGCCACAGTTAGGAGCCAGTAAGAGTGAAAGACCTCCTTGTGATGGTACTCTGTTTCTTAGCCTGCCCAGAGCCATGTTCTTGGCATGGAGTAAACATGGGATGTTCTCCATAGAAGCAAAGACTTAGTGACATGTCACCCTGCTGGCCTGGGCATAAAGTGGCCATATCAGAGCAAGTCCCCAGAGATTTAAAGCTGATGACCTTAAAATAACTTTATTTTTAATTTTAGATTTTTGCCATAAGGGTATGTGTGGTCATACACATGGAGAGAGACAGCAAGAAATCACTTCCCATGGGGGATGGCCACACCACAAACCCTTTATCTCTATTCCCCTCTTGAGATTTTGGACTCACACACATGCATGCACACATATGTGCTCGATGGGGTCTGGGTCTTGAACTGTGGAATTGGCCATGTAGGATCCAATGTCTTAACCATCATTGCTAGACCTAAAATAAATATTAAAAAAAAAAAAAACAGATGGTGGCACAGCGATAAAACAATTGGACTCACATGGGAGAGGTTCTGGGTTCGGGACTCAGGACCTCCCTAAGCACACCAGGCATGTGAGCAAAAGATTGGGCTGATGGAGCTCAGCACATGGGAGCCCCAGGGCCGTGGGCTCTTATTCAGCCAAGAGGTAGGAGGTTATTCCAAAGAATGCAAAGTAGGGACTATGCAGAGCTGGATGTCCTGTTTTGGTGCCGGGCAGGGTGCAGATGCTGGACGTTTGGGACTGACTGGAGGAGCCATGAGATTCAGAAGGCAGCCCCCGCTGAAGCTCTGCAGTAGCCACTGCTAAAGATTTCGTGCCCGGGACCGGCTCAGTGATGCTGTGGTAACTCTGTTCCAGGGTGCTGGGTGCCTATGGAAGATCATAGGTTCAGGGCCCTGGTTGACCTGTCCACACTGGATGTACACCCGTGATTGTGCTGAATGGGAGCGCTGCGGGGATTGCAGTGTGAGACTCTGTTAGAGTGTCCATCTCTCTCTTTTTCTCACAAGAACTAAAACAAACAAACAAAAGACTGCCTGGTTTCAGTTCTCTCTTCTGTAAAATGGGAGGGACAGGGCTCAGTTCATCTTGGGTAGGGATACTGTGACAGTTCATAAGGTGCGTGCCTGGCATAGGGCATGCCTCACAAATCAGCTTTAGTGTTTAAACAATTGCGATTTTTGTTACTGTAATAAGAAAGGAAACAGAGGCACAGAGAGGTTATACACTCAGACATAGTCACAGAGCTGGGCAGTGGTTGAGCCAAGATTTAAACGAAAGTTTTCTAACTTCCACATTTAGGGCCCCACATCAAGTTAAGTTTCTCCTAAAGCCCTTCCTTGGCTCACAAGTTCTAATGCTATTTTGGGGGGGAGTAGAGATTTTTTCTTTTCCCTGTAACGTGCATGAGCTCGCCAGAGAGACAGAAAGAGACAGAGAGACAGAAAGTGAGAAATCATCCCCAGGGGGATGGCCACACCGCAATCCCTTCTCCTCCATTCTCCTCTTGGGATTTTAGGCACACATGCACGCGCACCCAGCATGAGTTTTAAGTCACAGGGTCTGGGACTCAAACCTCAGCTGACAACGTGGAAGCTCAGTGATGTAACCATTACACCATCTGCTGGTCTCCTTCTAATACTTTTAAAAATCTTTAGGGACCAGCCAGCGGTGTGGTGATTTGGGTGGCTGGGTCCCACATGGCTGACTGCATAGAGTCCTAGACTCAGCCGCTTCCCACCTCCCTGGTGGGTGCTTTCTCACTTTCTCTCTTTCTCCAATGAGTGCATGCATCCTAGGGCAAAACTAAATATATATATTACACACACACACACACACACACACACATATATATATAAAGAACTTTAACAGTTTTATTGAAGTATAATTCACATTCCATGAAGCTCAATTTTTTTAGAGGTTTTATTTATTTATTTATTTATACAGGACATGTGCGCTCACCAGAGACAGAAACAAGAGAGAAAGCAAGAGATCTCCCCCCTCCAGGGGGGATGGCCACACTGCAATCCCTCCCCTCTATTCTCCTCTCACAATTTTGGGCAAGCACGCACATGCACACACACCTGACATGAATTTCAAGTCGCCAAATCTGAGACTTGAACTGTGGTTGTCCATGTGGGAATCCAGCGCCCCAACCACACCATGCACTGACCCCCAAAGCTTAATTATTTTAAGTTGATATTTCTGTGAGCTTTCATAAATGTATGCAGTTGTGCCTCCAGCACCCCAATTCTGTTTCACTTTCATTGACCCTAAAGGTTTCGTTAACCCATTTGCTCAGATCCAGGCAACCACGAATTTACTTTCTGTCTATATAGTTTTTCCTTCACTAGGAAATTCATATAAATACAATCATGTGGGGACCAGCAGGTGGCGTGGTTAAGGTGCTGGGCACTCCCACATGGCTGACCATGGTTTGAGCCCTGGACCTGGTGGCTTGCTTTCTCACTTTCCCTCTTTCTCTCTCTTTCTGTGTATCTCTCTGGTCAAATTAAAATAAAATGAATGAATAAAAGTAAATAAATAATTCTTTAAAAAAATACAGTCATGCAATATGTACTTTGGTGTCAGGCTTCTTTCATTAACTATAGCGTTTTCAAGATTTATCCATGTTATATTTTTCTTGTTTGTTTCTTTAAATGGAAACATACATTTTTCTTCCTTCCTGACCCCTCTGGAATTGGAAGATATTTGAGAGTATTATTATTTTGTGGCAGAAGGGTTATTTGCATAAGTTCAATAATGCTTGTTGCATTCGATCAGAAATTGGAAATACTCATTATTGGACAGGACTTTGACTGGAATGTCATGCTTGAAAATTAATCAGAAAACTATGAGAATAAGCTTGATCTCAAGTAAGCCAACAGAAGCTTTTAGAAAGGTAGCCTGGCACCATACATAGTTCTGCCTGGTAGCGAGGATTAGAGAAGATGCATAACAGAATTTATAACATGAAATAACCTGGATTTTTCCAGCCAGCAATATAATCAGTAGAGATTTCAATAGAACAACCTCACCAGAGGATTATCTTGAGAAAGACTTTGAAGGAAGAAGAAGAGACTGATCTTTGATAGCAGATGGTATATCCCAGAATACTTGGTAGGCAGGGCTAAATTGAGGTTTATGTGTGACTTGTGAGCTGGGCATTTGCTTTTCAACAATTTGAGTAGTTGACATAATATTTCTCAAAAATTTTAAATATTTCTCAAAAATATACTTTTTTGAGAGGTTTTTGCTATAGGGCACGTGCGCTTGCCAGAAAGACAGAGAGAGACAGAGAGACAGAAAGCAAGAAATCACCCCCAGGGGGGATGGCCACGCCGCAATCCCTTCTCCTCCATTCTCCTCTCGGGATCTTGGGCACGCACACACGCCCGGCGTGAGTTTTAAGCCACCGGGTCCGGGACTCAAACCGTGGTCGACTACGTGGGAGTCCAGTGACATAGCCATTATGCTAACTGCTGGTCCCTCTCAAAAATATTTAAAACCATACTGATTCTGTTGTTA